CATGTTACACAATCAAGATGTCTAGTCTAAAGTATATTGCCACCAATTAAAAAAAAAACCATTGCGGGCTTCAAAATGAAAATAAGCTATTTCCGTTGATTATAAATAAATACATTAACTAAGATGACATAGTTTTGAAAACTACTTTGAAAGTTAAAGACAGATGAGTGGAACTTCTGTCATGGGTTAGAAATATTTATTGATATTTCAATAAATGGAGAAGTTAGAACATTGAAGCTTTACAGTTGACTTTGGAACTATTTACAGATTGTGTCTACATAACACAGACAGTGTACATATTGGGCTTCTGAATTTATATCGTCTAAAATGGGAAAATTGGGAGTTCTTGCACTTCACTGTGAACACTGAGAATATTTTTTATATATTTTCTTTTGAAATTAAGAAATGAAATTGAAATATAAATTGATTAGGAAGTGCACTGTTTCACATGTCCATGTACACCCACAATCACATTTTATTCAAAGATATAAAGTGATTCATCATTCGTTCTATAACAAGTCATATTAAAAATTTTTCAAACCTGTAAGTTTTCAGTATTAACAGTTCATGTTCTTTTCAAAGGTGTAGCAAAATGAAACACAAGTAATAATGGCACCACTATCTTGAGACAAATGTAAAAATAATTATGTAAAACAATCCCTCATGAAATAATATTAGATACATAAATGCATGTAAACAAAATTTTCTATAATTTAGTATCTAAAAATTAGAATACTGATATTTCTGGCATATTATTTGCTGGACTGTTATGAAAATACAAAACTAACAATTGCTGCTTTGTAAATTAATATGATTTTATAATTATTAAACATTACTGTGGTATGAAAATCAGAAAAAGTAAAATAGATGGCTGACTGTCAGAGAGAAACTAACGACAATTAATTTGTCAGTTTCATTAAAGTTTACTTAGAACAATCTTATAACTATAAAATTTTGTTACTTTTTCAACACATGTGGGTTTCTACCTTCTTTTTGTATCAAAATGTTCACTTTAAATTCATTCTTTGTTTGAAAATGTGCAAGTTTCACATAACACATGGTTAAGAAAACAATTAAGAATTTTTCTTAAAGCAAGCTTCTGTAAGGATGTCAATAGCAGTGTCCTTGAAAGGTTATACAGGTGATATCTAGAGGTTAAGGCCCATATGTGTTTAATGAGAATGACCACTCACACAGTAGTGCATGTCACGCTGATAAATGCAAGATTTCATTAAAGCTAAAATAATTTGTATTAGACAGTTTGATGGATGATCTTAAAGTTCAGAAGGGATAATCCCAAAAAATACTTTTTGTGCAGTCTTGTCATTCTTTTTAGCATTAATTCAGTTAGTTACAGTTTTAGCAATAGAAGTGATATCAGGTACAAAGCCCCTGTTTTGTGGACCTATGTGGTGAAGCTTACATCTATATTTAGTTCACCTGAATATACCACACATACCCCCCCCCCCAAAAAAAAACAACAAACAAATTAATTAAAATATGCAGTAATCCTCAGCCAGGGAGTAAATACTTGTTTTGAAATTTCTTATTTTATATGGCTCAATGTTGTTAAGTACTGTATTACTATTTTTGAACAGAAATAGAAAGATTTAGAAAGTTGCATTGTCAAAATTAGATAATAAGATATATATTTAAGAAGTATGATAATACAAAACTAAATATTTGAAAATTGAGTAACATATAGTTTCAGTAACAAACACCAAGCCTGCAATAGATTAATTATACTGTTCCCTTTTAGAATACATTATCAGGCAATACATTACTTACAGTGTAGAATAAAGTGTTGAAATAATACCCACGTTACACTGCATATATATCACATACACTTTTGAACAGATACGAGTTCAGAGTGTATGTCATATAATGGAATTCAATCAATGCATCATGTTTTGCAAAGTTGTCTTTGAAATGGTGTTTGTATTAGGTTGTCAAGAAATTAATGTCACGTTTTGGGAAATTTTCTATAACTCTTCCCCCCCACAAAATGTACAACGAACCACCTAAATGTCCCATTAGTGTAGCCTATATAATGTGTAAAGTTTAGTATACTCTAATCCCTTATAGTGATGGCACACAATGAGAGACACATTCAGCATGTAATGTTGTTTGAATACAAGAAGGGAAACAATGCTTCTGTAGCCACAAAAAATATCAAAGAAGTTTATGGAAATGTTTTCAACGCTCATAAGTGTCAACGATGGTTCAGCAAATTTTGTTCAGGTGACTTTAGCCTTAAAAACTCTGATGGCAGGGGCCAACATGTTGAAATTGATATTGATGCTCTGAAGACGCTTGTTGAATCTAACCCAAGGCAACACACTCATGAAATAGGTCTGAAATTGCTTGCTTCTCATGAAACAATACATAAACATTTAAGGAATATGGAAAAACTCCATAAAGAAGATGTTTGGGTGCCTCACAAACTTTCTGATGATCATTGTTTCCAACGTGTAAATGTTGCTTCGTCTCTTCTGGAGTGTAATACGTGAACCATTTTTGGACAGAATTGTCACTGGTGATGAAAAATGGATTCTCTATGGGAATATTAAATGCCAAAAACAATGGCTCAGTCCTAGACAGAAACCACTTCCAACCCCGAAACCTGGACTCCATCTGCAGAAAGTGATACTTTACATTTGGTGGAACATCAAAAGAGTAATTCATTTTGAACTCCTCAATCCACAGTGAACTGTCAATGCAAAGATCTATAGTCAGCAACTGGAACGTTTAACTCTTTCAACCCAGGCTTGGTCCATGGGACTGACCTCATAACCATTTTGTGCTTGTTATAGTTTTCATGCTATAACTTTTATGTTAGTAAGCGAATGTTAAGGAAATTTGGCAGTTTATCAGTAAGCATTACAATGCTTTCATACGCAAAATATCTAATTGTTTTACTAAGTCTTAAGGTTTTTAAAGCAATGTTTCTCTCATCCTTTTTTCTTCTTTTCCCCATCTTGCCTATCTATCATG